CATGGCACAGCTCAGGTCAGATCTTGGACCTTGGTCACATGTTCATGCCGCACTTAACTTGCCTTGCAGCCGCCTGTCACCTTGTTGGGTGTTGATCGTTTGCCCTTTCGACCTGTAAATTGTTGGCTTTTCAGCATGTTGCCTTTTGCGTGTTCTTTCATTTTCCTTGTCAACCAGCGCGCAAGTTACTAGGACAGCTCTATCTTGAAATAGGCGTGGGCGCTCTTTGGATTCTTTGCCATGGTCGTGTCGAGCCAACGGTTGCTAATGATATATTTCCGTGCCTTGTTCCCTACGCCCACAAAACGAAGATACTGCTGAACAGTCCAAGTAACCATTCCAGAACGTAGCTCAGCGAAGCCAGAAAAATAAGACCAGTTTTGAATTACGAATGGTGTAAAAAGAAATCGTGTAACACTTATGATGTTGCATCTCAGACTTGATGACGCGGCTTTGATGCTTCTAGTGGTCGCTGGCTTTGTGCAAATGAGCTTTATGAGTGCGTTGGGCTGCATTCTTGCGTCACTTGTTTTAATGTTTGGTCTGCAGCTAGCATCTTGCACCCCTCCACTGGGCCGTGGTTGCTTGGCTTTGAACGCTCTAGAGTTGAGATGCATGTATGATGATCTGTGACAAATCAGGCATATACAGAGGTTTACATATTTGAAGCGTCGAGGTTTCATGACATGTCCCAACAAAACTTAGCTTTTGGCAAGGCAACGGATCATTCAGGTGGATGCATGGCAGTTTTCGCGCCCAGGCTGGCCCAGATTGACGCAGAAGTGTGCCAAGCCAAAGCCAACCTTGCAAGGGCCTCAGCCGCCACGTGCACGCACTGTGATATATATATATATATATACATTTATGTATATACATGTATACACATATGCATATGTAGCTCCAATATTGCTATAGATGACATGTTTACATCCTATAACACGTATGCATCAAGTAGGTATTTGTTATATTATATACATATAGTATTTTGCTCAGCTTTCCGTTTGCTACTATGTATATGTGACTGTGCATGTATACGTCAGAATATACTTCATGAATGGTGTGCCATATGTTTCTCTATGGTCCTGAGCACCGATAGTATGCTAATACAAAGCTTCGATTTTTAGAATAAGATGATATACGATGTTTGAAGGGCCCTAGGAACGGACGCCCTTGAGAGCAGAATATTCAGAACATATTTTTTTCGCATGGCCGCCCGTCGTCATGCCAAACCTCTCGCGGATGCCGATCTACGAGCAATTGTCGCCAGAATCCCATCAGCCTATTATTTTAGAACGAGCTCACCGATTCGGGGTGAAAAGAAGCTCAGCGTGATGTTGGCCCTTTAGGGATCCAATTCCTTTTGCAGGTTTTGGAACAATTGTAAAACACAAGTCCTCTGGATTTTGCGAGTTTGAGGCATTCTGCCAGCAATTAGCCCGTACGCTGCAAGGCCATTGCTTTTTACTTGGCCCACCCCCCACTCAGCAAGTAGCAAGTGCCCTTGGCTAATAAGTCCTCAATGGGTAAATCCCGCTGCGGGGGCTCAACGGGGGGCATGAATTGCGCCCTAAGTATATGGAGCCCATCCGAGTAAGCCACATAAGGATGGTTTGGCGCCCTGGACGGCTTTGCAACTCTTGGCACGTTCATCACTGACTTTTGAGTACCGGGCAAGGCAGTACAACCCCCTCTCATTTCTGGGTGTTCTGGGGGGGGCATTGACACGAGCACTGTTCACAATAGCATTTGTGTGTCCCTTGGTTTCGTTTTCTCAGGGTTGCTCCCATGTTAGATCTCACACCCAAGCTGACCACCTGGCTCTGTCAGCTTAGGCAAGCCCTGGCGGGGGCCTCGGAGGTGATGTGAGTAGGTTCCACCCTTTCCGGTTCAGTTTTCGGGGCGGGAAATATTTTCGTACTAGGTCGCCGGTTTGGATCTTAACCTGAGACTTCAGCTGGTTGAGAATTTCCACAGGGCTTGTTCGATTATCTTGAAGCAGTTTAGGACCGGTGCAGGGCTGAGGAGGTTGCTGGTATGTTCGGGAAGGTGGAATGTCCATGTAGGGCAATTGGCCAGACATCTCGTCCTCCCCTGTCAGCCTGTCGCAGCAACACGTGGTTGACCACCCTCAGGTCACCTATGGGGCAGCAAAATGCACATGCCTTTAAGAAAGTAGCCATGTAGTGACTCCATGGCCATGCGAAACCTGGATATGCAATTGTAACTTCTGAATGTCGTCCTTACTTAGACCATTTCCCCGGTGGTCCCGGCGCTTGGGGTGGCTGCGATCTGCCTGGCCCGGCTTTGCCGCTGGCAGGCGCTGCGCCCGAGATGACCATGGCCTGTGGCTCAGCTGTCCTCGATCCCTGCTAGGTCCCCCAGCAATTGGTGCCCTTTTACGGTTTCTTTTTTTAGGGAGGGTTCCCCTACCAAATAGACCACTGAAAAAAGGGTAGCTCACCCCGTTTTTTGGGGAAGGGTTCCCCTACTAAATTAGACTGCATAGAAAAGTTGGTACCCCTATTCTAACCTCTCTACTGGAGGACCTATAGCCTGGCTTCTTTCGAGGGACATGGGGGGGGAGGGGCCGAACTTCCGCGTTTTTTTTGGTTGATGTGCTGTGGGGTAACCGCAACAATTTGAACGTGGGCTTGTTTTCTGGAGCAATTGTTTGCCCTTTTCAACCAGCCAAGGAGTTGGTTGATTACTATTCTTTGAGGGGGTTTATGCCTGGCCAAACAGAGTAGCTACTGATGGATGAATGGATGGATGAGAGGAGCGACCGTGAGCAGGACCCTGTGGCCAATAGAAACGGTCCCTCCCGCCATCGACTAGCTAGCTAAGGACCATTGATAACATTCCCAGCTCCGCTGGCGACTGGGCTCTGGTTGCTTCAGAACGGGCGCTTGTTGCATTGAAGCTGGCTTCTGCCCAAGACCAGTAAGGACAATAGGTGCGGTATGCATAACTCACCCGCAAACTCAAATCACACACATGTGCGAGTGGGGCCGAGGAGCGCGCCTACCAGATCTTGGCAAAGGTGTCACCCCAAAGGCCTGCTGAACCGACCGGACGCCGATGGGATTCTCAGTGTCAGGTGAGGGAACACGGCAGCATCACAACAACCAAGGCCCTACCCAGGTTTGCAGAACCTTGATTGCTATTGGGTCGGATCTTTAGACTTTAACTTTTTGGGCTTTCAAGGGGTTTTCCATTAAACCCACAAAAAGTGAAAAACTTTTTGCAGAGGGGTCAACCGCAACAAAGGAACATGCTGCCAGATGTTTCTCCGCGTGAGCGCCTGGCAGGCCAGGCCTGGAAGAGGCAGCGGAAGTGGGGGGGGGGGATGGTGGTGGTGGGTGATTTTGTCGCCTGGTAGAACAGGGCTCCTTAAAAGATCTCCATTTTGCAACCATTTGAAACATGTGGCTTTTTCACCAAAATAAATCGAAACCACAATTTACAAGTTGCAATGTTCAGGTGTATAATTTACTGTATAATGTAAGGATCCCTGGTAGAAGGCCGAGGGTTCCCCTCCCAACGCATTTTGGGTTGACCGGGGCAAACCCAGTGGTTTTTTGCAAACATGGAGAAACTTTTTGGTGTCCACCTACACGGCTGGCACATTCCGCGAAGCTCCCTGGGCTTGACACATGTCTAAAAGCTAAGCCCAATTTGAGCTGCAGATCACAACGCGCACTTGTGATTTCCACTGCGAGCGCCACGAAGGACTAAGTCATGTGGGGTCCGCAATGGCCAACCCTTCATGGGGCATAGTGTTCATGGAGAAACCCCCCGCCAGTTGAGAGGTGAACCATTCGTAGGCTTCATCCATCCTATGTGCGAAATAGATTTTGTCCATCCATAATCTTTGCAGCTGCCTTTCTTGAGGGTGTTCTTGCCTTGTGGAGGTCGATGGCAAAGCCCCCTAGACACTTTGCGTCTAGAATCTATCTTGTAGATGTGGCTTCCACCCTTGAAATTGTGTTTTGTTTGGTGGGCCCCGGGGCTCCCCAATTTCTACCTGGTAGCAACAGGCTTGGTTGGCTGTAGGCTGCAATTTACTTGGATATAGGGGTGCCTTTGTGTGAAGTGGGGGGGAAATAGTCATGGTTTCCTCACTTTCCATGTTCCTGGATGATGAGATCATAGCAACAAGCCGCATCCTCAAACTAGCTGCTAGCCTTGAACGGAGGGGGTCGTTTGGATGCACAAGCCCCGAAGCAGGCGCAAGACCTCGGATCCGGCGTGTCCCCGCCTTACGCCTCCAGTTGATTCCCGTGGATGGGGGAAGGTCTTGCCAATGAGAGCCAACAGCTCCGGCCCGGGTTTTCCGAGGGTGTAGGGGATAAGGGAAGGACCGGTCCACCACATGCAGCTGGTTTAAGCAGTGCTGCTTCTCAGGCTTGCCGCACCATGCCAGTCACCCCTTCCATGTCGCATCGGCAGGCATAGACTTATTTTGTTTGTCTGGTTTCATCATTGCCGGTGCACACACCAAGGGAATTGTGCCATCCTCAACCCAGGTGCAACTTCTACCTTTCTGGTTTCCTTGCCTTGTCTTCCAGAGGGTCGATGTTGGGCCTAGTTTGCTGCCCGAGTGATAGCGAACCTCACTTGCCCGGGCGTAAAGCGAGCGAGTTATTTGGCCCTCTGGAATAAGAAGCACAAACAACAGCAGGACGCAACACACCCAGCTCAAAGCACGACTACCAGAGGCAAAGACAAAGCCAACAGAATCAAGAGCCACTAGGCATGGCCCAAACAAGTTTCAGACATTCTCGCAGGGCTCCATTTGAGGAATATCTATTTGTTCCACTGCTGAAGCGCCACCCAGAAATTTGCTGCCCACTGCTGATTTGGGTTTTCGACATGAAGAATGCAGGGCCCACTGCGAAGCAACTGTGCGAATCCTTCCCCATGCCTTGCTCATTTGCCTGGCGGTCCCCTGCCGTGCCCCGTGTTTTGTTTTGGGCTGTCCCGCGGCATTTTCGGTCCGAGTCCTGTTGCTTGAATGATTCATGCGATCTACGTGTTTCCGATTACCTTTCTAACGCCATGCGTTGCTTCTGCTGCTGGCTATTTGTGGTGGGTGCAGTTGCTTCGCGGCTGAATGCCCGGGAGGTCCTTGCAAAGCCCAAAGGCTCCCACCTCTGCGTCGAGGGCATGCATATACAGCTGGACAGGCGGTTGTCAGACAGGCACATTGTCACTTGGCTTCAGACGGCTTGTTCGGCTTGGGGTGAAACGTGTTTTCTAGAGCCAACCGCAGCCCGGTTTCTTTGGCACTTCCACCAAGGTGAACCCAGAGTGCATGGGAGGCGCAGCTGATTTTGACTGCACGGAGGAGTCGCACCATTTTGTGGCCTCCCGAGCTATGAAAGAAGGTGAGTCTCAGAGTGGCCTTTGCAAGGACCTGGTCAGAAGCCCCCCACTGTTTGCTCTACTCAGCGACAGGCGCCTCAGCTGCAACTTTAAACAACATCGAAATACATCGAACATGTGCTCAATTGAACAGTTGTTTCTGGTTGTGTTCTTGCCCATTTTGAATTGTTGTTTATTCTCTTAGTCTCACATTTCTTATTTTTGTTCCTCTTAGTTGCCCTTCAAGCCGCAGGGGATACCCTTAAAACACCACACCCGTTTGAGTCCTCGCAGGATTTGGGACCTGGACGATGGCAGCCCCTTGGAGTTTTTGCATGGCTCGATCGAAGTGCCCCAGACGTAGGTTAGCAGGTTGCTTCCTTTTTCCTTCCTGGTTTTGGCAGGGGGGAGTTGTTTTTTTCATAGAAGCCAGCTGTATGTTTACCATAGGGGTCATTGCATTCCCTGCTGAGCACCAGCAAGCAAAGGGTGCCCTTTCTTTTTGATAGCTGACGCAGGTATTTCTTCCATCCGGCTTTCGATTTGTTCAATGCCAGAAACTTGCTGATGCTCAGGGAATCTGGGAATGAACCCATATTTTCCCCTTAAAGAAGACCACAAAAATGGATGCTTCATAGGGGTCATTCCATTTCTGATTGGAATGAACTCAGTTTTAGTTTGTGTTTCTCTTCTCCTATTTTTTTGCGAAACCGCACAAAATGGTTCATAGGGGTCAGATTCCACGTCTCATTCCCTGCATCTCTCGCATCCAGGGGTGCTTGTACATGCCCCTTTTACACACTCCTTGGACAAATGAACCCAAAAGGCCTATCGATGTTCATACTCTCCCCAAACAGGGGCATATACCCTTTATAAAGTGGGTTGGGAACCACGGAAGCCAAGGGGTACTCAGTTGTTCAGTGGCACCCTTTTTCCCTTTTCTTTTTGGTGACTGCCCCACTAAAAATGGTCTTCCCCAAAAAGGGTTCCCTTTTTTCCAGGGTCACTGAACAACTGAGGGTATGAACAAGGCGTATGTACTTCCCCCCTTAGATCGCCCCAGCCCCCTGGAATTTTTGCCTTCGGAGGTGCGCTGCGAGGCAAATCCCGGCGGCACGCCTCTGAAGGTGGTGAAGTACTCCTGCCGAGAATTCCTACCGTTTGGGACCATACTGAAACATGACAGGAGCGATTTGAAGCGCCTTGGCTGTGGTTGTCAAAACCGTTTTGGGATCCCATTTTGGTTGGTAGGTGAATTCACCACCCATTTGTTTTGCTTTACTTTCAGTTGGGATTCCTTTTGTAAGTGGTTAAATTGGGATGTTCACTGGGGGTACGGGATTTTGACCCATTCTTGGCAGTGAAACGACCGTAATTCCTGAGGCTGCTGTGCCTAGGTCCCCCAGCTAGGTGCCCTTCCTCTTGGTTGGGAGGGTTCCCCTACCAAACTAGACCACAGAAGAAAATCGGGTCCCTCAAATCTGGAGGACCTAGGTGCGAATTCTGGTGCTGACCATGGCCCCAGCAGGAGGAGTTGGGTTCCCCCACCAAACTAGACCACAGAAGAAAATCGGTTGGATCCATTTTTGAGAACTACTGGAGGCTTGTTCAACCCACGTTTTTGGGGGATCCCCCTGTTTGAGACGGTCCCCATGTGTTCTTTTCTCATATTGCACGTTTAACTCGCAGGCGAGTTTTCGAGGAACGGTGCAATGCATCAGTGGCTCCCCGTTCCGCTGGCAATTCCAAGCGCAGCTTATCGAAGGTTGAGACGATTACACCGCCCCCCCCCCCCGTCCCCAAGGAAATGTGCAAGGGTTGTGTGTAAAAACACATGTAGCCTTCCTGCACTTACATGCCTAGCGTGTGCACTCCAGAGATCAAACAAAACTTGATACTGTGGATGGACAAAACCATGCACCACCCAAGAAACCCTGGCTTCTGATGATTCAACTGCAAATACCAGCCAACAATGGCTTCAAAGTGGTGCAGTAGTGCCCTTTCTCACCCTTTTTTTGGGGAGGGTCCCCCCACTAAAATAGACTACAGAAAAAGGGTGCCCTCTCTACTGGAGGACCTAGTGGTAGTTTGGATGTCTCGTTTGTGGCCATCTCAAGAGTGCTCGAACCCAGTTGGATGGGTTCACGCGCAACTCCCGAAACATGGCAAAAAGCAGCTGGGGGTAACTGATTCCGGGCCATGATGCAAGGCCCTTGCTTGGGAATGTCTTGGTCAACGTATTCTAAGCAATGCAAGGTGGAAGTATCCATGTGGCTTTCTTTTTTTGCACATGTATAAATGATGCGAAAAAAAACAATCTCACGTGCACAAGTTTCTGGGAAGACTGTTTGGCCAACAGCCCGAGCTTTTCAGAGGAATCCACGGAAGTGGGTTGCGGAACACACGTGTTGCAGCTAGTCCTCTTCCAGTTCCGTTTTCGCCCCCTAGAAATCAACATATGTCCAATAGTGATAGATTCCCATTTGGGGGTCATCCCAAAGAAGAAGGTGGTTGGAGGATCCCTTTGGCCGATTTCCCGTAGTTGGGCCGCAGTTGTTTACAGTGTCGTTGGAGCATACCGCAGGCCCCCCTCGCTGGGTCCGGGGCTGAAGTTCGAGTACGCGGAGTTCGAGTGCAGCAACCCGCTGGAGGGATCCAGCGCCAACTTGTTGCACTCCGGGCCTGTGCACTCCCTGAGCCTCGGCCCACGGATTTGTCCCCCATTACTGCCCGACCTCTCACCCCTTTTTTGGTTGGGAGGGGTCCCCTACTAAAATAGACTAGGAAAAAGGGTACCCTTCTTCTAACCTCTCTGGAGGACCTAGACTTGATACTTTACTTGGTGGCAGCCATCCGGATCCTTTGCCTTTTAGGTCTTTTTAGTGTTTAGCGGTTGGATTTCCGCATTTCACCCACTAAAGGTTAAAAAACAACTCTTAGCGGGCAGCCCAGAAGAGGGCGAAACAAGCAGCCCGCAGCCCAATTTTGTGATTCTGGCGTCCGCGCGGGGTGGGCCAAGCTTAGGGGCCGATCCAGAGCCGATCCGCCGAGGGGAGACGTGGGAGGCTCATGACCCCAACGGTCACTGACAGTCCGTCTTAGGTTGCTATGACTCTGTTGCGATCTGTGGTCCCGAACCTGTATATATGTATATATATATATATACATATACACGTCATTTCGGCGTTCCGTTTGGAGAACTTGCGGCTTGGCTTTTCCAAAGCGAATCAACGTTCAACTGTGGGCTCCTTTAACCAAGGGTCCAGAAGGTCAACGGTTTATGCCTAGGTCCTGTGGCAACTGAGTTCGGATGGTTCCAAAACGCCCTTTGGGCCCTGGCCAGTTTGGGACTCCCTGATTTTGAGAAACGGGTTTGGGAACATCCGCATTGGACATCATTGAGCTCAGCATTTGAGCAGATGCTCTGTTGTTCAGAGGTGCCATGTATTCCTTTGCGGGGGTTTCCACTACAGATGATCGAGTCAAAAAGGGGGGCTTTTTTTGACCAATAGTACCGCAAGCAAAATCGTCGGCAAATTACAATCCCAACAAATAGGTGCGGATGTCCACCCTTTCAAACTCAGTTGTTCAAAATCGACCTTCTCTTCGGTGCATTGTGCTTGGATGTTAGGACTTTAACTTTTTGCCAACTAATGGGTTTTCCATGAAGCCACTCAAAGTTAAACATTTAGCAGGGGAGCAGAAAGCAACCAACCTTTTGACCTTTTGGTTCTCCTGTTTTCCCCATATGTAGTGGAGGTCTTTCTCCAGATCCTTTGGGCAAGGAAGCTTTCCCCACTTCTGTGATACATTGGAATCCTTCCCTTTACATGGAGGGTTAGTCTTAAGCCCTTTTTGTATCACAGAAGTGGGTCCCATTTCAACCACAGCTCTAGGGGTTGATTCCTTTGTCATTCTTCTCAACTATCGTTCTTTTCTCAAAACCGATCGCTATTTTCCCAGGGTTTTGGTGGTTTGCTAGAAAGAGGGATCCCTGGGTGGGAAGGTACCCCTAGAATGGTCATCAACCTGGCGCTTTCTAAAGACGCCCCATTGCAACTTCAGGGGGCCGTGGGCACGACCCAAATGTTTCTCAGAGGAGGGGAAAGAATGGGGAAGCTACCCTTAGAATAGCGGGAGACCGTTTTTTTGTGTTTTGCTTTGTCACCGGGCGTTGGCTCAGGAGCGAGTTCGCCTCGCTTCGGGAGGCCCGCGAAGCCTGCGAGGCTGGGCGGTGCCCAAATCAGATGAACAGACATAGCCACCTTCCATTTGGTGAAGAATATTTTCCCCCTGTTGGTTTTAAAGGGAATCTATCACTACTGGAATTATTTGTATTTTTGCCAGGAGACTTAAGCAAATGGAGGCCACTGCAAGGTCAACCATGGACTTCTAGGGGTTGATTCCTTTCCATTCTTTTCAACCATCGTTCTTTTCGAAAGCCGGATCCATTTCCCTGGGTTTCTGGTGGTTTCCTGAAAAGAAGGTTTGCTGAAAAGAAGGATCCCTGGAAAGAATGGGGAAGGTAGCCCTAGAATAGAGGCGGTGTTCCTTTAAGGAAGCCAGGGTGCTGCGGGGGGCGAGCCAGGAGATGCACATCCCTGCCCCCTAACGTGCAAGGGACGTAAGAGTACAT